CAAATATAAGTGTACACTTCTACACTAGCGCTGACATGTTTGAAGTCACAGGTACTATATTTTTAGCTTTATTGTTAACAAGTGGCCACCAAGGCTTGTCAGAACTCCAACTATATCTGTTACCTTAGGGCCAAAGTTTAGTGCTTTTACAAGTAAATCCAAGTGACTAACAGATTGACTTGTCAATGGAAATGTGCCTCGGAGATCCCGAGAGCAGTGTACGTGTGTTTGTATAAGTGTAACTAGATTCAGAAGTCAGAGGGTGTGCTGGATGAAAAAAAAGATACACAAAAATAACAAGAAAACACTTCATGTGGGAGAAGTAAGTCCAGAGGAACAGTCACAACTTTTATTTCCCAGATCAGGTTAAAAGAGCCGAGGCTATTACAGCGAGAGACAGTCAAGCACCTCATAGGAAACTCAACAGAAGGAGCAGTCAGTGGAAAGGGGCAAAAGATCCAATTACTCCAGTACATCTGGTTCTGGGGTGTACAAGTGTGCTCTTTAAATTGCTGGTGTCCTGCCTGCGTCGCCCCACTCCTCATGGGTAATTGACACTCTCTGCATACAATATATGTGGACAGAGGCGAAAAACAAACACAGATTCTAAAGCGATCGGACTGCTTTGACTACTGCTGAAATCACCCAAGCCTTTTCTTCAGCACAGTTTCCAACTGAGGGAGTTTAAAACACTGAGTATTTAACGTCTCTAAATGCATCAGTATGATTGCTGTGGTGTTAAATGGAAGCTGGTGGTTCTGACTCAATTGCCACTTAAGGAGAACCAGGAATTTTGGCTGCTGTTGTAAATGATCATGTAGGCTGGATCACAGTGTGCTGTATGTGTGCACTGCTGAAATGTTTTTGTTTTGTTCCTAGTTCAAATATCTGAACATTCGTAAACCAAAAAGCATTTTTTTAAACAAGTAAAAACTTATTATGAATTAATATATAAATAAATGTTTATATTTATTTTATTATAATTATTTATTTTTATTATATATTTTTTAAAATAATCATTCAAAATGCAGTGGGGTTTTCTTTAAAACACACAAGTAAAATAATCTTGTTTTTTTTATTTTATCTGTCACATTGGCAGATTACTCTGCTTGTTTAAAGGAAAAATTTGATAATTTTTTCTTATTATTTCTGAAAACAAAGCAATTTTTTGACAATGCAATAATACATATATTTCAATTTTACAAATTTTTTTTCCCAAATTGATGCATGATTTAACATTTTTTAGATATTTGGACTAAAAATGAGCCAACAACTCTAAGTAAGAAAATCATGTTTTGCGGTGTGTGTGTGTGTGTGTGTGTGTGTGTGTGTGTGTGTGTGTGTGTGTGTGTTTGCATGTTTTTTGTGACATAAGGACACATATTTGTATAGCAATATGGATATTAGGGCTGCACAATATATCACATCAATATATCACAATGTGTGAACATGCAATAGTCACGTTGCAGAATTTGCAACGTGGAGTCAAGATTATAGTTAAAACATTACAATTTTAGAGTCGTTTAAGCATTAATAAAGTGAAAGCTTATCAGTTGCTTGTGTTTTTAGGGCCTGTGTAAACATTTTAAGTGATTTTAAAGCATTTGAACACAAGGAATTATCATGTTTGTAGCTTTAACAAAGATTAATCATATTTAATTATTTGCATGATGAAGAATATACCGCTTTATTGTTTGATTATTTTATTTCTGTATCTGTATACTGTTAGACTCCTTTTCTATATTTGCTGTGCTTTATTGATTTATCCTACTTATAAATTTGTATTGATTTATCAATCTAAAATAATTGTTATCTTGTGAAAAATCACAATATAAATTGCAGAAAATGTAAATATTGTAATGTATGTTTTTTTTCCAATATCATGCTGCCCTAATGGGTATGATGTAGATATTACAAGGATAAGGTGTCCACATTTTTCAAATTTTTCACATGCTTTGTTTTTAAAAATCATACAGAATTAGTTGTTTTGATGTTGTTGTTTTTTATTTTTTGAGGAGGTTAATATAAGGCAATATATAGTTTGTACAGTATAAAATCAGTTATGCCTATGTAATGTTCCCACAGTTCACAAAAACAAACCTGTGCGTGTATGTGTGTGTGAGAGAGAGAAAGCTTCACTGGTCAGATCTGGATGGGATATTAGATTGTTTTAGTTGGATTACGCTAGATATGTCAAAACACGATCTGACTGCATGCGGTTTTGGATCAGCACTGCTACGCATGGTGCCAGGTGGTTTTAATCCTGAATTGCTCATTACCACAAGGTCAGTGATGAGGTCAAAGTTGGTTGTGACCCCAGATCTTTGCCCTTGACGGATCATTGAGCACGATTCAGAGATGTCGCCGCTTTTCTTGCTGCACAAACGGATCAGTTAAATTCCTCTTGAAGCCTCATTCTCTTTTTCCTCCCCGTCTACTTGAGGGAATTCCCTCTTTTCTTACTTTAACAGACGTCCGTTGAGAGTGGACGCTCATTAATGGCGCATGCATGAGCGCTACATTTCCATGCACTTCTTCCAGAACGTCCTTATCCGAAGGTTACCTTCTGAGATTCGAACAGATCTTATTTCTGAGGTTATTAAAAACAAGGAATTTAATTTGGGTTACCCACAAGCTTCTCGGTTTAAATTCACTCAGCTTTTGGAAATGGTATACCGAGCCGACACACAAAGTGTTCAATAACTTTGTAATTTAAAGACAATTATGGTACACTGGTGGAAAAAAAAATAGTGCACATGGATCGGGAAAGGAAGGAATATATGAGAAGCCAGGAAAATCAGCAGCAGGGTTAGGGTACATTTCTCTAAAAAGGGCTTCTGCATGTGTCGGCAGAATTAATTTGACTTAATTGACATTCATAAGCCAGACGTTGCAGTTTTACTCTGACTGGGATAAGGCTGTCTTCTGCTGTTTGCTCAGTAATTGAAATTTCCATTATGAGGTGTAAACATTTAACAGCCACCAAGTGAATATTCATCAGAGCAGCAGCAGTAGTGACACACGATTCTGTCTGTGTGTATTTGTGCCAACCAGGTACTGAATTTGCAATAAGGCAAGGGAATAGGCTTTTTTGTCCTGCGTATATGAATACATTACGGTGCGTTTGTGTCAGTATGCCTTTCATGGAAACATATTAGAAGTACTGTTTATAAATATAAAAGATGATTTGTTAAAAATGCAAGAGAGTAAACATTGTAGAGATAAACAATTATTAAAAAAAAACATGATATATTGTGGCATTTATAGAAAGGTGGGAGGAAAAAACCAATGTTAGCAGACAGTACCATTCATCTTTATTTTATCCAGTGAATCACTTTTGCATGAAGAGTAAGTGTCAGAATTAATAAACATGAATGCATTTAGCTTAGAATAGTGTTTAAGTATGGCAATTTTACTCTAAATTCACATTATTGTGTCAATGAAGACTTCCTTATGTGAAAAGTTGTGGCTTCTTATAACAAAATAGGTCAGAAATAATACTATTTAAAATAATGCTGTAAAAAAGTAGTTCACTGATTTTAACTGTAAAAAAGCTACACTTAAAATATGTAATCTGGTTAACAGTAAGGCTGTGTCCGAAAACGCCTACTACTATGCTGTAGGTACTGCATTTAAAGTTAAATGTACTACTCGGCCGTTAGAAAAGTACATTCTATACTCTATGCTTGTGACCAGTATAAATGGAACTGGGATGTACTACACCCACCTTTGTGTCATCATCACATGACCCACACACATCAGTTGTGTTGCTTCACTCCTATTCATGAATTCTCTTGCGGTACATCATAGGATATCGTAGCATACATCAAATGTGCACTTCAGAATGTCCCTGGAAGTAGTAAGTCATATGGGTACTTCTCACGAACTGTTTTTAAAATTCTATGAATTCTACTTCTAACCCTGCTCAAACACACTGTATGTTTTAAACAAGCCTAAAGCACTTAATTAGTTATTAATAGTAGTAATTAGCTTGATTAGGTGTGTTTAATTAATTTTGGAACTAAACTGTGCAGAGCTGCGGTCCTCCAGGAGTTTGACACCCCTATATAATGGTGAATAACAATAAATTGACTTTCCGTGCAAGACACTTTACATTGACATTACTATGGTTCATTTTATTAGCTATTACAGTTCTTTAGAGTTTTATTTTTTATCTAATTTTGATAAATAATGTTCATTGCATAGATCAATGAATACTATATGAATACTATAATAATGAAAAACATAAATCAATGTTTTTAATAGGAAGATGTACAATATTATATTTGTGCATATACATTAAATTAGTCAGTACTGATGTTATATTTGAAGCTTATCTAACAAAATAACTTGCAATAACAGTCCAAAAACTAGTACACCTAATTTTATATGTTAGGGAAAAAAATATTAAATACAAATTTAAAAAGAGGAAAAATCAAGAGAAGCAAAAAAAAAAAAAAAGTTAAAATTCTGTAGGTTGTAATTTTTTTGGCAATATTTAGCTTGAATTTATTAATATTTTGGCAATATTTAGCTTTTCAATTTCCAAATTTGTTTGGTGACTAAAATATAATTTTAATAAATATATCTGTTTAATAAATCTGTTTTGTTTAAATGCACCAAAACACATTGCCTATATTCACTGAGAAATGGCGAAAAAAATTAATTTTCAAAATGGGATGTACTCAATTATACGGAGCTCTAAATATTTATTATCCTTATAAATATAGCTTCTTAAAGAACACTGCGGTATTGAACAAAACTGAATCAATGTTGAACCAATTCGAGCTGAATGATAACACAGCCACATCTGCATTATAGCAGAATTAGCATTTGCCTCATTTCCCAAGTTCACACTGATTCTGTTTCCTTCCTGTTTAATACAGTGCAGCTGCTTTAAACCAATCTCTATTGTAGAAAGCGCTACAAAAATAAGGTTGACTTTAGCATATGCTCTGAATTACTAAACCTCAAAATCATTCTTTCTCTGTTTCTTTCAGCTCCCTCTCAAGTGAGCGAGGTGATAAAGGAGCGAGTTCAGCAGCACAGTGTTCAGCTCTCCTGGCAGGAGCCCGATCAACCCAACGGCGTCATCACAGAATATGAGATCAAGTACTATGAGAAAGTAAGTACACGCCACCTGCTCCTCTTCATGAGCTATTAATGAATATATCCATGTGTGTGTATGTGTGTGTGTGCATTTCAGAAAAACAATGAGACAGACACAGGCGACGCCTGTGTGTTAGTACCTGTCTATCAGCTTCCCAATTCCCATTCAACCTTTCCTATCCTTCATATTTATGTATCATTTCTGTTCATGATTTGCATTCTCTGTGCACGCCGCTCGCAGTCAAATGCTCCGGCCTGAGTGGATCCATCCCCTCTAATTGATATAATGAATGAGACTCTCATAAGATTTTAATTAGACCAAAGTCCTTCACAAACATACGCAAGAGCGTCTTAGTTACACTTAGTTATTCACGTCTACGACCACTTCAGAAATGCGCACACAAGAGCAGCACGTAATGTCTCGGATTGTACCTGAGCATCTGTTCGATGAAAAACAACCCACAATCCCTTGCAGGCATGCACACGGTGCCACTAAAACATTAATCAGAATCATAGTCCAAAAAACCATACATACCCACACCCACACACACATACTTAATTTCTTTTTCTCTCTGCTGCTCAGTCCTACCCGCCATCCATTATAAAGCGCAGCTTCATAGTTTCTGGCTTCAGACTCATATGTCAGCTAGTCAGGCGTGAGCAGAAATGTCCAGCGCGTTTGTTCGCTCGTGCTCGGCCTGTTGGGTTCAGTCTCTTAAGCAGTGTGTGCGAAAGCAGAAAAGTCTCTTGAGGGGAGCTCTCTGGCTGTGGTCCGTCCTGTTTGAAAATTAGACGCAAGCTTGACTTCACTGCTAACAGCCTGTGTCATGCCATTTAAGAGTTGCGTTTTTTTTTTTTTTTTTGCTGCTGAAGTCCAGGAGAGATAATTTACAGATCAGTGGAAAACACTGTAGCGCAGCACATGCTTTTGTATTTATATGTTGTAGAAGTGGTGTTTTAGTGTCCTCGAGTAACTGTAGTATTTAGTAAAAGCTTGAATTGAAGTAGCTATTTTTAAATTTTCTGAATGTTCAAATGAAATTAATTAAATTAGGGAATGATGTTACTTCAGTTTTGAAATGAAAACTAATAAAAAAATGAATATAATGACTTTTTTAGATTCAATTACTCATCCTTTACTTGTTGGAGTTTCTTTATTGTGTTAACTCTCTAGGATCTATTTATGCACATATGTATATGATGATCCTCAAAATCACCTTAATTTCGTATTGATAAGATTATCACAGATTTGAAACTGTAAATGGTCCATTTTTATTGTTATGTATTCATAATTACAACAAAAGAATCAGTTTTTGTAATCAATACAATCTATAAAATAAGCAGTAAGTGCTTTCTGTGCATTCTTCTCAACATAAGGCCTTGTTTACACTAATATGTTTTAGTTTTAAAACTCATAAGTTGCGCTACGGCTACGCCTTTTGTCCACACTACCCCGGTGTTTTCAAGCGGGAAGACTAATTGTTTTATAAACACTAAAGAGGCCATTTTTTTTAAATGCTGCTGCTCCATTTCATTGTGGATGGGGGAAAACAGAAACATCTGAAAACGGAGCAAGGCTGCAGCATTTGCCAACTGACTTTTCTGACTTTTTCTCAATATTAAGTAGCCTACACAAAGTTCAGTCTTGCAGCCTTTCTTTAAGATCAGACTTCGGAAGTCTGATATTGAAAACAAACTCCTGAGGACATGCCATGTAAATCTTCAAAGGGTACTGTGTACTTTATAACTTTATAACATTCACATCACTCTGCTCACATCTTTACAATAAAATGAACATGTGATATAAGGAACTGCTTGTTTCAATAATCTATAATGGCCATTATAAAGGTATAACATACAATAAGTTTAAACAATATAGCCAAACAGTCAGTCAAATAAGCAGAATCAGTGTACGCGGTTACATAAATTAATATATTAACTTATCTTTGTGCTCAACCAAAACACGTTGCATGAGAACAAGTAATAGATTCAAAAGACCAAGGAGTCATTAGATAGAGACATTTATAGTTAACTATCTTATAGTTTATAGTGAGATGAAATCCAGTGGAATATCATTGGTGAACTGTCCGACCTGCACTGCTCTCATCTGGGAAAATGCCTGCAGAGCACCCGCTGACTGCCTGAAGCTCAGACACGTGCATAAGCTACAGCGTATGCCAGAGTCTGTGTGGGCACATGATGTGCGTTATCAGAAGTGTAGTGTGGACGGAGATCTGTTCAGAAACGCTAGGTGAAACACCAGTGTGGACGCAGATCGTTTTCATTCTAAAATGCCGTTTTAAAACTAAAACATATTAGTGTAAACAGGGCCTAATATCCATTGAGGAAATATAGGAACATAGCTATTGACTTCCCTGGTATTTGTTTCTTATAATATGGATGCCAATGTTGCATGTTTTCAGCCTTCTTCAATATATATATATATATATATATATATATATATATATAGTGTGTTAGCCAGCACTCACTTATAGCTATAATCTAACTTTGAATTGTGACAGTTCTTGACCCCAGTGAGCTACAAACAAAAATCAGGTATCATTGGAAAGAAGACCTGTTGAGGTTTACTATGCTCCATCTAGAAAGCATTATGATAAAAAAATAAATAAATAATAGTTATACATCATGAAGTATTTAAAAAAAAAAGTGCTGTTCAATATTTGTTTTTCCATATATAAACATGTAAAATTATTTATGTAATAACCTGGAAAAAAAACAGGCCAAGGGAAAGTCAAGTAATAGCATGCAAAACAAGATTTCTGCAAAAGGCTTTTTCGAAGCTATATCGGTGTCTTTCTGTCCCTCACCATCAGAGGCACTTTCTCAGAATTTACCTTCCCAAACTAAAACATTAACAGAAGAAAAAAACTCAAAAAGCTTTATTACCCCTTGAGGTAATAAATATTGAATGTTGAGTAAATTGTCTTTTTTGGGTTAACTACAGTATCTTTTTAAGTTTCATAGCTCAGTGTGGTAGCTGTTGTGTTTACATGTAAGACTTACATGTTGCATTTAGCACTCTTTACCTGATTTTTTTAACACATTTTTACCTTAACCGACAATGTTATTTATCTGTGTTCTATAAATGCTTACGTTCATTAAATTACACATTTTTTTCTCTCAATATTTTTTGCAATATTACCCAAAAACTAAAAATAAATCACCCTCAGACATCTACTGCATGCCGTTTTCAACAGACTGTGACACACCAACTTATATCTCACCTACTATACAGAATGCATAGCATGCAAATTGGGACAGAGCCAAAGTCTCCCCTCAGTAGGCGTCCATGTGTTTGTTTCCTCAAGCTCTCTTTGACATTCCAATCATAAATGAAGCACCGGCTCCTCTCAAACAGCTTGCTTCTGGTTACCAGGCTACGGATGAAATACTGTGATATTGCCTCTGCTTGAACTCTTTGCGTGTGAAAAGGGCCAAATGCTCCAGTATTCAGTGCCAAACACTTGAGCGTATCCACCCCTCTCTCTGTAAAGAATTTGTACAATTTGTGCTTTTGATAGCGTGTGACAAGATTGTGATTTTGTTTTCTTTTTTTGAACCTGAAGGACCAGAAGGATCGCATTTACTCCACCGTGAAGTCAAAGTCCACTTCAGCCACAGTCAATAATCTAAAGCCCAGCACGGCGTACGTCTTTCAGATCCGAGCTTTCACCGCTGCCGGATATGGCATCTTCGGGCCCAGACTGGAGGTCACCACTAAAGAGGAATCCACTGGATCTGGTGAGCAAAAGAGTATGTCGGAAAGCTATTTTTTTTAAATATCTATTTCTGTTTCAAGGATTTGCATTATGATCTGTCTGATTACACTTACGCAGAGACACTGCAGGTTTATTTCAGTCCAATATAAAAGAAAAAAAATACAGTTTTAAGTGTTTTATTTATTTATTTGTATTTCTGTCTCTATGTTTAAAATGCATTTCATGTTTTTTAAAGTCAGTTTCTCAGTTTCACATGTTGTTTTTACAGAGATTCGGAAGGGATGTAATTGTGGGGAAAAAACAGGTGGAAGAAAAAAAACTGAGTGGGAGAAAAAAAAATGAGTGGAAGATAAAAAGAGTGATAGGAAAATAAGTTTTTGTTGTAGTTTTTGCGTTGATGCGATGCATTGCATGTTGTTGGGGGAAAAAACAGGTGGAAGAAAAAAATTGAGTGGGAGAAAAAAAAGACTGATAGCTAAATGATTCTATTTTATTTAAGTTTTTGCTTCCCTCGCAAAGATATTAGCATTTGCTAGCAAAACTGTTGTTTGACACTTCTTTTTCACTTCATACATGTCAACCCTCCTGTTTTTCTATTCATCAAAGCTGTGCGTCGATCATCACCCTTCCTATGCAACCTCTGAATCAATAAATGCATGAACTGTATAAGTGCTGACTGACGGATGAGCTCTGTATGATAAACTGATCACAGATCAGCACATGCCATCTAAAAGTGGAGCTAAAGAGGAAAGTTCAGGAAACTTTTGGATTTGTGTATGTTTAAGCAGATGAATACACTAAAAAAAATGCAAACATGTCCGTCCTGCGTGTTTAATTTTAAACACGACTAATTTTCTCTTAAATGAGCACAAACAGATACTAAAGTAATCGAATGCTTTCATTATAGATCTGTCCATTCAAGTGACACCTCTGTTAACAAAAAACAAAATGAAATGAGAGATTCATTTGCTGATCTTCATTTGTTTGATAACAGAGGAATCACTTTAAATAGCGTGTACAGACGCTGACGTCCGTCCGTCAGTCAGCGCTTATACAGTACATGCATTCACTGATTCAGAGCTTCTATTGGAAAGGTGATGATTGACGCACAGCTTTAATGGAAAGAAAGTGAATGCAGACATATTTATATTAATTTCAACGTACTTTCAAGATTTAAACTATGGGAAAATATTTTAAATTAAGGTGATAGCGAGACAGAATGGTAAAATACAGGAGAATCCCGGCAAAAATGGGAGGGTTTGACATGTATGAAGTGAACAAGAAGTGTTTGTCAACGCAAATATCTTGGTATATATCTTTGCGAGGAATTGCAAAAGCTTAAAAAAATATATATTTACTTATCAGTCTTTTTTTTTCTCCCACCCATTTTTTTCCTCCCATTCAGTTTTTTCCCTCATCATCATATCTCTTCCGGGTCTCCACATTTTTCATGAATCTTCACTACATACATCACATTTACACATTTAACTACATACTGTTTTTTTAAAGGGATTTGTTTATACGTAACATTTTATTCTACAAAATATGTAGAAAAAAATATGTATAAAAAAAGTTTAAAAAAAAGGTATAAAATAACCTAATTAAAAACTGTTATGGAGTGATAAAATAAGATATACCACTCCATTCTGTCAAAATATGATGTAAAAATACACATTATGCAAATGAGTGCATATTTAATTAAATAATGTCTTATTTGCTTACTTAAAGATAACATTTTAGAAATCTTGTGATTCAAAAATGTACATTGTACATTCAAGTTAATCTTTTAGCTGGGAAATTATGGTGACAAATATTAGTTCATTTTTAAAATTATTATCATTATTATGTTTTTCTATTCACCTTTAGTGTCTTGCTCTAAAGGCAAGGTCCAGTTTATTCCAGATTAAGTCTTTTGACCCAGACTGCACCTGAGACATTGTTTATTTCAGATAAGATGTTCTGTTTCGGTTTTGTCTGCAGTTCGTCAATGAGAGCAGTATTTTTCGAATTCGGAGAAATAAACCTAACGAGAAGCGATCCAACCTGAATGTGTCATTGTTTCAAATGCAGGCCACTGTATTACCATCTGGGACTATTAAGCCCACTTTCAGAAACAGTAGAAGCGTGCACTCAGCGAGACCCTAAAATAGAGCCAGCCCCTCCCTGCTGAAGAAAGAGGACGAAAAGGGGGTTACTACCATTCCATGCTTTGCTTCACACTATCCTGATGTCTTCTTTTGCCAAATGGACCAGTATTACAGGAATCGACCTGTATTAAAATTCTAGCTAATTTCAAAAAGCCATTATTAATCATTAATTATTTTCAGCATAATTCTATTAAAAAATTCTATCACAATATTATAATATTACCACATAAAACTGGATCAAAAAAGTGTAATACAGCTTAATTGTATTCACTTATATTTTGTCATTAGTGTTTTGTTTATTGTTTTTATTAGAGTTTTTATATATTATTGTTTGTTTTATCATATTATTTTTAATGAATTCGAATTAACATTTAAATAACAACGAACAGTTGCAACTGTATTCATTTTATCATGAGACACATATTAAAGTATTGGGTCACACTTTATTTTGATGTTCAGTTTGTTGAATTTAAATTACATTGTATTTACATGCCAACTAATTGTAATTAGATTATAAGTAGACTGTTTGGTTGGGGTTAGGGTTAGTGTAAGTTGACATGTACTTGCGAAGTTCCTAATAGTCAGTTAAATGTCTGTTGAAAGAGAGGTTTTAACATTAAGATGGTCTATTTGAGTCTACTAAGACTCAAATAGACCATAAAATAAAATGTTACCATGTATTGTAACCTATGTTTTGCCACCAATATTAAGTAGCTAACAAAATAATACTTTATTTAATTCATTTATTTTTAGTGACTTTTAAGTTTTGTCATTGTTTGTATTATTGCATTTAAAAAAAAGAAAAGAGTACTGACAATGTTTGATTAATTATATCCAAGTAAATGTAATAAAGAAGGATTTAGTCAGTTTTGTGACTTCATATGTTACAGTAGATGACAGAAACACTAATATTAATGTGAGTATAGGGTAAATAACTATACTGTATGAGGAATACATTGCAAACCGATATAAGTGACATATTTTACTATGACAACCTTTTTAAAATTCCATCTGGGATCTCATTTTCTGTCCCTTTGTTTTACCTGCAGCCACAGTGATCTCGAGTGAGCAGAATCCAGTGATCATCATTGCAGTGGTGGCAGTAGCTGGTACCATCATTCTGGTCTTCATGGTGTTCGGCTTCATCATAGGGAGAAGGTACGCTCTCGCGGCCCCCATTGACTCTCCGCTACTGTGAGTCTCGTTCGCTCTCTCAGTTTGCCTTTCTGTCCCTCAAAGGCCACCATAGCTGTGGAATCACACCCCTCGTCCACTTGATCCCAACCACTATCATGCTCATGCTGTTGGCTTTCACTACTGCCAGTCTCTACCTGTTTGTCCAAGAACACCAGTGTTATATTTTTGTTTCATTCAAACACTTCACTCATGATGTTTGTCTTGTTCTTGGAGTGTTTGCCTCAAACGAGTGCTTCACAAAACACATGTTTGCTCTCCTGCATGTCCATCAATACCGAATGCTTTTGGTCAGATGAACTGTTGTCAAATTGTAAGATGATTTTTCAGAAATTGAAGAGAATTTACTTGTTTGTTTATTTTAGATTGCAGGATAATTTTCATTTAAGCTGTAGGATATATGCACAGCTAGTGTTTCTTCTCATACTGATAAACATCCGGTGAGGTTAATGTGACTATTTTCAATTTTACACATTTCATTTCACAGCATCGATGTTGTAATGGAATTAAAATTTAATCAGTTAATAGACTTTAGCATTCGCTTAGTTGTTCAACCCTAAAACGATAGAAGATAAAAAACCCTTTACACGCACGTGCCAGTCAGGATCTGCAGGCTTGTGCAGAAGCTCCATTGAATATACTCGGGTAAAATAAATGTTCATATTTTAAAGACATGGTGTGGGAAAATGTAAATTAATGCAGTGCTTCTTTTACATTCTTAGACCCACTTTATATTATATACATCAATCAGGCAGTGGAGATTGTTGATTTTTGAAGAAAACGGACCATAAACACAGTGATTTTGTAATGACATACAGTTCACCGGAAGCGCTTGACCCAGGTTACTGAAAAATTAAAAGTCCTTCTGCATACTTCTGCATATGTCCTATTCAGAGATATAATTTGGCAATGCAAATATAGAAAATGTTTGTCTAAATAATTAATCTAGAATATATTGGAAGGAAAAATCATGCAAGTTTAGTGCTTAATCCTTAACTTCAATTTGCAGTTTTCATTATATATATATATATATATATATATATATATATATTAGTTTTAGATTCATTATTTACCTCTGTTTTTGTACTTTAGTTTTTTTTTATTTAATTTTATAAAATGTTACATGTTATTACTTTTATTTCAAGAACATGTTCAGGTAATGTTTTACCCACATTATTCATTTTCAGTAGGTTGTTTATAGAGGTGTGAACCTACACTTGTCTCATGGTTCAGTTACGATTATCATGCCATCGATTCGGTTCAATTTGATATCTCGGTGCATCACGGTGCATTGACGATGCTTTCCATACACAATTTTAGATTTTACTTCACAGCACAAGAAAAATGTATGAATACAATTGTGAACTGTACCTTTAAAAACTCAAATACATGCACAGAACAACATGAGCATTTATACAAACAAATGTACATGCTCAACAGAAAGGGCTGCAATTGGCTCTAACGGTCTGGGGCTGTTCACCGATGAGTGACACTGATAAGCGGCAGCTGATTCATGATAGACATGGTGGAGAAAACTCACTCTGCAGACACACACACTATCCCGAAGTAATGCTGTAACAGCCAAGAGAAGAGGAAATGTCACACCAGCAGGTCATAGGGCTACAGTGAGAGAGAGAAATGGAGTTTACTTTCATTTTCTTTCATAGTGAAATAGCGGCTTCTGCTGTAACTTCAGTGTCAGTGAATGACTGTCCAGCAAACACACACGTAGTGAATTGTGCAGAGTTTCTGCGTTTTTAAGTAGTTGGAGTGTTTTAATTACTCATGCTTACCTCCCTCGCACAGTATTCTACAGTGACATAACGCAAATGAGATAAATGAAGTCAGAATGTAGTTACCGTTTATGATCTATTACTGAACTGATAGCAAATTGTCCGCATCTGCATCACAGTGCAGAAATAATTATGACACTTCAAGTTGTTTAGTATTTTTGTAAGCTTATCTATGATTATTTTATTTTTAGATTTGTTTTTGTACAGTAATTTATTTATTTATTTTATTTAGATATTTTAACAATAAACTCTTATCTATATTGCTTAATTTTATATACATTTTTTATTCTATTTAAGCTTGTATTTTGAAGTATTTTTGCCCTATAACATTTTCAGTTACAACAGTAATTTTCATCATTTTGATCTAATGTGCATTTTAAATTGTTCGCCATGTTAATCTACCTTTTATGAATCCTTCACACACACATACACACACAAACGCATGCACGCACACACACAAACACACACACACACACACAGAGATCCCTCTCTTGCATGTCCATTAAAACACTGAATGCCTTAAATGCTTTTTTGCTCAGTTCAATTCATTATGGAGTTATTTCAAACAATCAAGATAATTTCCAGATAAAATATTCTTCATAATCCTTTTCACTTAATCCATTTGAAAAGAAAACCTGCCAAAACAAACATGACCGCTTTAACATCTAATGAATTAATCACCAATAGAACAGAACGGAACAGGAATTCATGGCATTTCTATTCCGTTTCAAGAAAAACATTCAGACTTTTGCAGCATTTCTCCAGGTTGAGTGGAGCTGAATTGCCCTCTTTAGCCGTGTTATGTTGAAATCATCTGTCTGCTCGCCGCAGGACATTAATGAGTTGCTTTTTTTTGTTCCCTTTATAGACACTGCGGCTACAGTAAGGCAGATCAGGAAGGGGACGAGGAGCTCTACTTTCAATGTGAGTGCCAGCTTTCATCAGCTCATTATACACAGACTCATCAGCGGAGCTCCTGGAGAACCGTCCTGCAGAGTTTAGTTCCTACTCTAATCAAACACCTGAACTTGCTAATCAAGGTCTTCAGGCTCATGCTTCAGAATTACAGGCAGGTGTGTTGAAGCAGGACTGGAACTAAACTCGACAGGACTGAGCCCCGCTGTACAGCATTGATCATGTTCTGGTCGGGCATTACAGCTGGACCCTCCCTTGACGCTGATTTTGATGAAAACTTTTCCACACTGAAATGATGGGAAGCAGCACCAGTTTAGGAACCTTTTAAAATAATTTGTAAGAACTGAAACCAAAGATAAGGTTGTGCTACAAATAATCTATATTAATGATAAGAAAAATTAAAGTAAAGCGGTTACTGTTAATATTCATGTCATGTTGACACTAAGATAAATGATTTGTTATGAATGCTTTGTCACATGCAGTGTTGACAGCCTGAGAAATATCTGATGTTATTCAGGGAATAGTTCACCCATATTTGGTAATTCTGTCATAAACCTATTCGAGTTGAGTTTTTCTGAAGAAGTTATTTAGAAAATCTTGGAAATTTGTAATAATTGACTTTCATACAATTTTTCTTTTGTACTATGAAAGTCAATAGCTACAAGCGTTTAACATTTTTCTAAATATCTTATTTTGCAATTAGCAGAAAATGGAATATCATACAATTTCAATCATTTAATAGTATTGATAAACTAAACTTTAATCAGTAGCAGTGTAAAATTACCAATACTCAAATATTTATATTTTCTTCCTCCTCTTAGATTAAAAAATGTTCAGTATTTTTCTTTCTTTCTTTTTTTTATTTTTTTTTTACTTTTTTATTAGAATGTAACTCAAAATCAAAGATAGATCAGAAATAGTCAATACAAATACAGATGGATACTGAAAAGATAAGGGAGAAAAAGAAAAAGGGAAAGACATTTGTGCAGTGTTATTTTAAAATAATATATATGGTGTTGAAGGTAAAAAAAAAAAAACTATAATAAAAATTAAAGTAATTTATTAAAAAAGGGGGGTGGGAGATGTCTCATATACTTATTGTGTATACAATGTGGCTGTTTACTAAATCAGTGTTGTATATTTAAAGTGAGTTATGCATAATTCTTAGAATTGGGTTCCATCTTGCTTCAAAAATATTCATCTGGAGTCTAAGGCAATACGTTATTATTTCCATTTCATAAATTTCTCTAATTGTTTTGATCCATTGTTCATACATAGGTGGGTCTGATCTGAGCCAGTTAGACGTAATACATTTTAGTGCTGCAGAAAGCAATAGTATTTTTCTTTTTAATTACATTTTTAATACGTTTTTTTTTAAATGACGTGGGGGTGACGCAGTGGCGCAGTAGGTACTGCTGTCGCCTCACAGCAAGAAGGTCACTGGTTCGAGTCTTGGTGGTTCATTTTGGCGACCCCAGAATAATAAAGGTACTAAGCTGAAAAGAAAATGAATTAATAAATAAATGACATATTTTCAACCAACTTCAAATTTCAATTTCAATTAAATTTAAATGCACTTATATTTAATTTGTTTTTCCGTACTTTTGTTACTACATCTTTATCTATCTGCTTATTTAATCTAGCTTTTCTTTTTTTTTTTTGAGTACAGCTTACATGTTCATTTTCTAGTATTTGTGTTACAGCTTATATTTCTTTTAGTTCTTCATTTAATATTCATTTTAAACAACATAAGATTCTGGTAATTACATATAGAGCTCTGCATTTTAAGACCCCCTATATATTCAAGATCTTTTACATGCTCATTCCAGTGGCCAGTCTCTGAAGTCTTCTGAAAAAGATATTTTAGCCATTTCCAGAACATGTCTTAAGACTTAAGGTGACCATGCCTTCTGTGTTATGGCCCCAAGGCTCTGGAACTCTCTCCCTCTAGCACTGAGAACTCTGGGATCAGTTGAACTTTTTAAAAAGCATTCAAAGATTTCAAGCTTTTAATTAAAAGTATGGTGAGCTGGTTTTACATTGGTCTTTCTGTTTTTGGATTTTTAGCTTGTTTTCTTTTATTGATATGTTTTTGTTACATGCTTTTCGGTTTTATTTTATTGTAAAGCACTTTGTGGCGCAATGTCTGTGAAAGGTGCTATATAAATAAACCTTTACTTACATTAGTTTTAGGTTTAGTTTACTGCGTCTAAAACTATATACTGTAAACATTGATTTTAGCAATTGCTGCAATGTTAATGATCATAACCTGAATACAAACTACTTTGGATAATTCAAAAACCAATCACACTAAAATCTACTGTTAAAGTCCACAAATTCTGATAAGTCCACTAAGAACAGTGCAGCATTTAAAGCTGATACTTTAAAGCATCAGTTAATCACAGATTATGTTACGCCTATGGTGCAAAGCCAGGCCGTAACCCTCCGGAAACAGCTTCAACTTCAGATCTCCAACTGAAGAGGGCTTTCAGAGCATTCAGATGTTCCTCTAGGTGTTTGACTCTTCTAGGTTGGGAAGCCCTGCCTTCAGACCTCTCGGCCAGTGAGATGTTTTCTCTCAGCAGTCTCTAATGAAGCCCCTGGAGAAACGCTGGCAACGGCCTCTCTAGACCTGCTCTGCTAATGATCAGCGCTCTAGGCAAACTGCTGATTTGGAAACAGAGGTTCAAGGTGGCACAGCTTGCTTGCTTACACAGGACAGCAGAACCTCTCAAGTGTTCTTGGCATTACAGCTTGCCATTTTTTCACCACTGCACAAAACCTGCCAAAAAAACAGCTAATACACCTTTTTTCTACACCCAATGATCCTTCGCATGATAAAAAAATGGTTGTGAATTAAAGAGATAGTTCACAAAAATGAATATTCTCTCATTATTTACTTACCATTCACTTACTTTCTTCTGTTGAACACAAATGAAGATATGTTGAAGAAAAATAGAAAACCTGTAAACATTGACTTCCATTGTATTTGTTTTTTTAGCCTATGGAAGTCAATGGTTACAAGTTTTCAGCTTTCTTCAAAATATATTTTTTTGTGTTCAATAGTATTAAAAAATACTTTTAAAGGTTTGGGACCACTTGTAAATTGTGAAATTGTAAATTTGTGACAACTATTCCTTTAAGTTAAACTATAAACAATGAGTAAAGCGTTTAAACCCAGAAAACCCAGAATTTACATTTTCTAAAATCAGGTTTATTGTTTATGGTTCTGAACTGATGAAAGAATGCTCGATTCCGTTGAACTATTTCTGTACTATACTTGTTTTTTATAGTTATTAATTTTATATTTGTCAATTTTTTATTATATAAAAACAATTATTTCTTTTTAATATATTTTCCCTTTTCTGTGTTTGTTTTGCTGAGTTGATAGAATACATATATATTTTTGTATGGATGTTTCTTACTTGTTTTAACCCTCTCGCAGTTCACCTATATTATATTATAAGTCTGCTTATTAGAATTGACAAATTGATTTTAGCAGACTATAAATAAACACAACTTTACAATAGCACAACCTTGTTATTTAAAATAATTTGCTTCAGTTCTTTTGAATGGAGGTTTCCAAAGTGCAAGTCATAATTTGAAATGCAGGGTCACACTTTGTTTTGATGGTCCATTGTTGAATTTAAGTTACATTGCATCTACATGCCATCTAAATCACTAGATTGTAGATAAACTGTTAGGTTGGGGTTTGGGTTAGTGTAAATTGACATGTACTTGAAAAGTTTCTTATAGTCAGTTAAATGTCTGTTGAAGGAGCAGTATTAACAGATATTAGGCAGACAGTCTAATAATACTCAAATGGACCAACAAAATAAAGTTTCACCAAATGCAGTATTCATCAAAAAAAAAAAAAAACATAAGATTGATAAAGAGCACCTGCTCAGCAGTGCAAAAGCACAAAACACACACTGCTTTGACAAAAGGCAGATAAGGCGAACACCGTAACCATACGCACAATTTGTTGCTCGTGTTGTGCGGGCAGCGGTGATAAACATGTTCTATCAGATTCACTGACAGCCTAGATGGACGAAGCAATTACAGCAGGCAAAAAGAAAGGAAATATCAGCCACCGTTGCATATGAGTGGAGCACAATGCTGCCCGTTTGCTTGTGTCATGTTATAATGCGACATGGCCATAAAGAAGCTATTAGGATATTAGGCTCCCTCCCTGTTCTTCGACATTGCTTTTGTTGCAAATTAGTAATTTAATTACTCGTTAGCAACAGTCCATTCTAGTCGTTTTCATCTCAGCATGATGTAGCCTATTAGTTTTTGCATCTCATTAAAAGGAGCTTAAATGTGGAAGTTGACAGGTAGCAATGTAATTATGGGATTTGATTAGATAGTAAGACTGGGCAAACGCATTAATTGGGCTTAAAAAGTGTTGCTTTTTAAAAAAAAAGACATATGTTGCTAGCTTGGCATAATAAACTAAACCAAAAGAAAAAAATGTGGCCTACATTTTTGTGCAATTGAAAATTATTATGCAATAATAATAATAATTATTATTATTATTATTATTGTTGTTGTTGTTGTTGTTGTTGTTGTTGTTATTATTATTATTCTGTTGGCCACTTGCCTAGAAACAACACAGTCTTGTGAAACCCATTATCCAATTGAGTGACAGCTATGAACACCACTGCCATGCTGTACTGCTAATACCCTTCCGGCTCCATTGTAAGAAGGTTAACAAGAAAATGTAATAGCGCTTCCAACGGAATATGCAAGGAAAAATAAGAGCATAGGTTTTGTTATTTGATGAAAGAGACCTTTTTGACACTCTATCTCCCTGTTTAGCCCACCGCCCGGCATTTCTACCCTCCAGTAATCGCATCCGTCCATCAAGTAAAACTCTCTGTGTGTATGTGTGTTTGCGGTCTGCATATTTAATCGTAACAGTAATCCTCTTACCCTTCTACAGTCAAATTTCCAGGCACCAAAACCTACATTGACCCTGAAACCTACGAGGACCCGAACAGGGCCGTCCATCAGTTCGCCAAAGAGCTGGACGCCTCCTGCATTAAGATTGAGAGGGTTATCGGCGCAGGTGAGCTCTTTTCTTGTCTTCTCCGCTGCCTCGCTTTAGTCGCACACCTCGCTCATTTATCACAATGACAACCAAATATTTACACTCTCAATAGCGGCCGGAGCATCTCTCTGGCCTCTTGTTATTGATAGCGCCGCTGTAAGATTGCTTTATAATTAATATGTCTTCTCTTAAGGCCAGGATGCACATAAATGCATCGCCATTGATGAATTGCTGCCGCATCCCTTTTAGTTATAAAGCGTATAACTGTGTTAGCGCGTCCTCTATGTAGCATATCCAATTATCTGAGGTCTCTAGTGTACTGACGCATAGCATGAATGCTGCTGCTAGCGTGACGGATGTGAATGAAGCAGCACAGGTACAGGTGACGTGTTTAACTTGGCCCGGATCACTTTAAACTCAGCTTGCGGGTGGTTTTGTGCTTCACAGGAGAGTTTGGAGAGGTGTGCAGTGGACGACTCAAGCTGCCGGGGAAGAGGGACGTGTCGGTGGCCATTAAAACGCTGAAAGTAGGCTACACTGAAAAACAGAGGCGAGACTTCCTATGTGAGGCCAGCATTATGGGGCAGTTTGATCACCCTAATGTGGTGCATCTAGAGGGGGTCGTCACAAGAGGTGGGCACTTTTAACAAATCTGTTTGCTTCTTACCTAGCCAGCCTTATGTTGTAAAACAACAAACATTTATACATAACTTCCTTAAATGCTGATATTTGTTTATTATTACAGGGTTTTAATAAGAGTTTTTAAACTTGCCCTATCGGGTCAGCGGTTAAGATTTTTACTTCCCCTGCCAAAATTTTCTTTGGCCCCACCAAAAGTTAATAGCTATTTCTTAGCCACATATTTTGAATAATGTGCCAAAAATAGTGCAAATCTAAAATATAAATATTTTTAAAAAATGTAATAAATGTGTGTTGAGCAAAATTCTAAATGTTATACAAACAAAAAGAGCAATATGGAAATGTGCAGTTATTCTATTGCAGTTCTAAATTATTTACCAATAACTGACTTGCCAAACTGACAGCTAACTGTGCAAAACATCACTTCATTTTTTCATCACGTTGTACCCACATTCATATCTGCTTTCAAGACGTTAGAAACAGACGTTTTCCTTTAGCCTCATAATTTTATGTTACCACCTCTTCCCTGTTCTGGTTGTCATAAGGGTTTTGGAAAAAATAACATGCTCACACCATCCAATCACATAAGAAGAACTGAGTAGCAATATGGTGTTTACGACATCACAGAGAAGGTAGAATTTGAGGCTTAAAAGCATAAACTGTTATAAGATCAGATCGGGCCAGTAATGATCCTGTCTACTGTCCCAAGCATCTCACAGGCTGGCCCCGGGCCATCGGGCAGTCCTTATTGTTGAGCCATGTATTAAATTAATAGCATTTCACCTTTTTAAAGATAAGAATATTATTTACATAGGACTTGACCCAAACTCATCCCACTAAGATTAGACTTTAAAAAAAAATGTGTATATATATATATATATATATATATATATATATATATATATATATTATAAATACAAATTCTGACTTAAAATAAATTCAAACAGGCAAACTGTGATTTTAAGTTACTTAAAGAAATTTCCAAATTGAAATCTTTTTATCTTTTGGGAAAAGCCTGTGTCATTTACGGTCAAAAAAATAAATAAATAGAAATAATATAATTAAATAAGAAATAAATTTTTAAAACTTGCTGGTTGAATTAAAGTAACCTTAAATACAAATTGGCCAGGTGTATGAATAATTTCGGGTTTGAATAGTAACAAGTGGTCGCAGCATGGGATCTTTCTATACATGAGGTTAATAACAATAATAAGATAAATAATATCAGATTTACATAATCTTTTGAAAGTTTTTTTCATACTCTGTAATCAATATTAGGCATTACATTAAGTTTAAGTTTACAATTCTAATGAAACATAAGAACATTTTATTTTCACTTTGAGTCAACTGTAGGTCAGTCACATATTTCCAAATGAAATATAATAATAAAAAGAGTTTTGATTGCAAAACACAAAGTATATTGCACTTTTTTTTTTAGCACTTATCCTTGCCATCTCTTTAACACATCAAATAAAGGTTAGAGATGAGTTGTTGAAACCCAAATTGTCAAACTGACATTCTCAAAAAAGCAATGACATTCCAAAGCAGAAGCAAATAATCAGGTTTTCATTCAAAATAGCCAAGATAAATGTTTGTTTTCTTGTAGATTAACTTGCATTGGTACCTTAAGACTAGCAACATGTGCTAATAATGGAAATATAATCAATGAATTATGTTATATATTATTATATTATTAATATATTAATAATTATCCTTAATGACATTACAAATTCATTCATTCATTCATTTTTTCCTTTTATTAATCTGGGGTTGCCACAGCGGAATGAATATGCAGCATATGTTTTATGCAGCGGATACCCTTCCAGCTGCAACCCATTACTGGGAAATAGACACACACACACACATATTAACACACACTATGGCCAATTTAGCTTACCCAATTCAGCTTACCTAATTCACTTGTACCATGTCTTTGGAAACTCACGCGAACATGGGGAGAACATGCAAACTCCACACAGAAACGCCAACTGACCCAGCCGAGGCTCTAATCAGTTAGCTTCTTGCTGTGAGGCAACAGCACTACCTACTGCGCCATCATGCAGCCACATTACAAATTATAACAGTATAATTTAAAATAATTTAAAAGTGATCAAATGTATTTTAAACAAATTAAAACTTATTTTGTACTTGCCAGTCAGTGTTGTTATTATTATAAAAATGGGATGCTGCTCACTTTTTATTTTAATGTTAACAATGTTTCCTATTTTAGTTTGTGAGAACCTTTTAAATGTCCAAAAATATTACATTCACTTTGAAAAGTTTGTATTTCTATTTCACAAGGGCCTGGTCAATCTGTAAAATGTGAAATATAATATCTAAGAAACTAAAAACACCAAACAATAAAACAGCTTAAAACAGCTGCAATCATATATTATCTCTGTCCATTAGTCTAACTTTGCAGAAACCAGACTGTTGTGACCTCAGTTAAGACTAAAGCGTGTATATGACATTTAAACAAGACAAATTACGACTTTAGTCTGACTGAAATTGAACTTTTAAAGTGCGCTATTAATCTTCTAAACTCAAGAATTATGACTTACCGTAAGCTCAGTTCTGAAGTCATATTGTTATGATTTGATTTTATAATTTGGATAATATTATTTGTAGCTCAGGGTGCTTTATTATTATTTTTGGAGGCCGTACAGTCCGCAAATGTTTATGAAAAGTCCTGTCGAAAGGCTAAAGTGAATCCAGTGTTGTAGAATCATCTGCGAATTGTTTCTCATTACTGCTCTTGTACAGTGTGTGTTGGCCGCGCTTCACTTTAATGGAGTCTGTTCTTTGCTCTTTCAGGAAAACCAGTCATGATAGTAATTGAATACATGGAAAATGGCTCATTAGATGCATTCCTCAGGGTACGTATAAACCACCCTAGACAATCTGGTCAGTGAATACAATATCTTTTCTGTTCTGTTCATTACACCCACTGCGATTTGCCATTTCACTGCTCATTCTGGAGAGGCCGTGTTACTTTGTGTGCTGTTGGGCGGCCATGATTAGACACATGCAGATATTCAGTAATTCAATATATTGTGATAATAAACATGCACAATATTGATTTCATGGGCACTTCAAAATACTGTGAATAATTAATTATTTTTTAAACTTAATTCAGAGTGCTTTTATAAGAATATTTAGAACGTTGTATTGGCAGTGGTTGTTTATCACAGAAAAACTTTATTTTTAAAAAATTACATTCCCAATAATCAGGTAATTTATAATATTTTTTGCTTAGCAACTCTATACAGTAAGGCTTCATTTGTTACATTCAGTTAATTTAAATTAAAAGGTCAATGTAGTGAAAACTACAAAGGTATTTGGTGATGTTCATTTCTTAATTTATGCACTAAAATCAGAAGTCGTAATTGTTTCATTAAATGAAGTTAAAATGTATTAAAATTCAGTGTTTTTTTTTTTCTCTTTTTACTAATTAACATACAGTTGATGTCGAAATTATTATTTTGAAAATATTTCCCAAATAATTTTTAACAGTGTATTTCCTATAATGTTTTTTCTTCTGGAATCTTTTTATTTATTTATTTATTTATTTATTTATTTATTTATTTATTTATTTATTTATTTATTTATTTATTCATTTATTTATTTTTGATTGTTAGTTTATCTGGAATAAAAAGCAATGTTTGTTTGTTTGTTTATTTATTTATTTGTTTGTCTATTTATTTATTTTTATTGTTAGTTTGGCTGGAATAAAAGCAGTGTTCATTTTTGTTTTATTGTTAGTTTGGCTGAAATAAAAGCAGTGTTTATTTATTTATTTATTTATTTATTTTTAATTGTTAGTTTGGCTGGAATAAAAGCAGTGTTTATTTATTTATTTATTTATTTATTTATTTTTAATTGTTAGTTTGGCTGGAATAAAAGCAGTGTTTGTTTGTTTATTTATTTATGTGTTGGTTTATTTATTTATTTATTTATTTTTATTTGTTAGTTTGGCTGGAATAAAAGCAGTGTTCTTTTTTGTTTTATTGTTAGTTTGGCTGAAATAAAAGCAGTGTTTATTTATTTATTTATTTATTTATTTTTAATTGTTAGTTTGGCTGGAATAAAAGCAGTGTTTATTTATTTATTTATTTATTTATTTTTAATTGTTAGTTTGGCTGGAATAAAAGCCGTGTTTGTTTGTTTATTTATTTATGTGTTGGTTTATTTATTTATTTATTTATTTTTATTTTTAGTTTGGCTGGAATAAAAGCAGTGTTTTATTTTTCATTTATTTATTTTAAGTTCAATATTATTAGTCCCCTTAAGAAACATTTTTTTCTGATTATCTACAAAACAAACCAATGTTACCCAATAACTTTTTCTAACATGACTAGTTAACATAAGAACCTAGTTAAGTCTTTAAATTGCATTTTAAGCTGAATACTAGTATCTTGCAAAACAACTAGACAAATATTTTGCAGCATGGTGAAGATAAAAAAGTGGTTCTTAAAACTTTTTTGTTTAAAAATGTGTTTAAAAATCACTCTGTTAAGCAACGATTGCCAAATATTATTTTATATTGGGAAATAGATATTTTTTCAACAATTTCACAGGAGGGCTAAAATGCGTTAAAACTAACCTTTTCTAATGAGACTTTAGTGTTACTTATTGTACTTTCTAATAGTGTTGTCTCGATACTGGAATTTGCTACCGATCAATACTGAAATGTAAAAAAAAAAAAAAATCATTTTCCCACGAAATCACCGCTGTTTACTAAGTGTAACATCAGATACAGGGACACTGGAGCGTTTTAAAGATGTGATTCATCACAATGGCAAATCAGTGGTGTTTAAAAAAGGGCTCAACAGCTCTCAAATGTTAGCGGGAAGTGGGCGTTTTTAAATTTTCAGTATCAATTAGAACCGAATTCCAGTATCGTGGCAACCCTACTTTCTAATGTGTTTACAGCATTTAATTTACTCTAACAGGCATAATAATCTAATGTTCAAAGTAATCCTTTTTGATGATTAAAGCTTCTGCAGTTAATTGCAACAGGAAAACAGATTTTTTTGTTTCTGTTTGTTCCTTCACAGAAACATGATGGGCAGTTCACTGTGATTCAGTTGGTGGGAATGTTGCGCGGAATCGCAGCCGGGATGAGATACCTCTCAGACATGGGTTACGTTCATCGCGATTTAGCGGCGCGAAACATCCTTGTCAACAGCAATCTCGTATGTAAAGTGTCTGACTTCGGCCTGTCCAGAGTGATTGACGACGATCCCGAGGCTGTCTACACAACAACGGTGAGTCAATTAATCCTCCGTCTCATCACACAACCCACAGCGCTCTCAGAATAAACAAATCAATGCAGGCATCAGATAGGAGTACAAATATAGATACTGTCTGTGGTGTTTTGTGAAGCTGGGATCTCACTGAACAACAAACAAACTGATTTCTGACTCTCCTCTGGATCATTCATTGTGGTTTTACACGAATCTGTTCTTCACTAAACAGGGGGGAAAGATCCCGGTTCGGTGGACGGCGATGGAAGCCATCCAGTATCGTAAATTCACATCAGCGAGTGATGTGTGGAGCTATGGGATTGTAATGTGGGAGGTCATGTCCTATGGGGAACGGCCTTACTGGGACATGTCCAATCAAGACGTAAGTTATCTTTCATGTTTGTTTGTTTTTTATACTTATATTATGGTTTTAGAAAAAAATACAGTAAGTGGTTCTGCACTGCAAAAATCTGGGTTCCACACAATTCCTTCATGTCCCAACTTAAATTGATAAAGTTAACTAGAATTGTGTTGCTTCTGGGGCTGTGACGCTATCTATTTTTTGCTGGGTGATATATTGCACCCTAATTAATTGCGATAGACGATATTCTTGCCACTTTATAACTTATATCACTAATAAAAATAGATACATTTTTACATCATAACAGTGTAATTATCTCTAATCATATACACTGTTTCAAAGATATGATATGATATGATATATGACATGAGATGAAATAATATGATGGTAAGTGGCAGACATTAATTCATTCATTCTTTTTTGTTTTTGGCTGAGTCCCTTTATTAATCTGGGGTCACCACAGAGGAATGAACCACCAATTTATTCAGCATATGTTTTACTCAGCAGATGCCCTTCCAGCGGCAACCCATCTCTGGGAAACATCCATACACTCATTCACACTCATACACAACGAACAATTTAGCCTACCCAATTCACTTGTACCACATGTCTTTGGACTGTATGGGAAAGCGAAGCACCTGGGGACACTAGGAGAACATGCAAACTCCACACAGAAACAACAACTGACCCAGCCGAGGCTTAACCAGTGACCTTCTGGTGAATTTGGTATGCTAAAATTGACCGTATGAGTGTGTATGGATGTTTCCCAGTAATGCGTTGTAGCTAGAAGGAAATTTGCTGCGTGAAACATATGCTGGATAAGTGGCAACCCCATATAATATAATATAATATAATATAATATAATATAATATAATATAATATAATATAATATAATATAATATAATATAATATAATGTCATTTATTATAATAAAAAAATATGCATTTATTTATCCACATCTACACTTGCAATTTTTACAATAAACACACACACACATTTTGCATTCACTGAAGGCATACAGTATGCATATTCTGTGCTCACCTGGTTTTAAATTCCTTCTACATTTATAGATTTATATTTAATAATGCAGCCGTTCTACAGTACATGTCTGATCACATTCAACTGTCTCTCGTGGTTTAAATTAAACAAGTTGGAAACCTAAATTTATTCCACATCTTTTTTTTTTTTTTACTTCATCAAGGCTCTTCTAGCAGAAAAGACAGATCTCTTATTAGTACGTCTTTCAAAACCATGGCTTGCATTAAAAGTCCATAGTTATGAGGTGAAGATAATCTGCAGGTACTGAAGAAGCAGGACAGATAAGCACATCTGACACTTTGGATTTCCTCATTGCGTATCAACACAGGTGTCACGACTGACCTTGTTTTAATGATACATTTTGAGGATAAAAAGCTTTAATGGATCCGCAGAAACCAACGGAGTGTTTTTTGCTTGTACAATTCCTTTTATGTATTCCGCCACACTTTCAACCTTTATAATGAGAAATGATAATGCGAGCCAAATTCATCATTAGCAGAGTTCAATCAATTTAAAGATATCTGCTTAGCCATGCAAAACCTTCTGAACGATCCGCGGGCCGAGCTTTTGTCTCAAAGAAAATTGGGACAGCAAAGTGCCGTTCATCATTCTGATCACATGCGTGCAGGGTTTTCAAGTTGAACCGGATTGAAATTCAGATACAGTCACGGCTAATCATATGTATGAGGGGAAATGCTGTTAATCTGGCGGTGTATGAAGGCACTTGTCTTGTGTACGGCAGATTTTTCTTTTCAAGCTTGAACATCCTCTGAGAAAGTAAACAAGCCTTATCAGAGAAACTAATGACGTCTTGTAATTACCTGCTCACGTTAGCGCTCTGTATTAGCTGCTAGCTAGCTAGCATCAGACTTTTTAGGTACTTTTTTTTTTTTATTTCTGTTCAAACGTTTGCCTCGGTGGAGTCTTGATACTTGTCAGGCCTCAACGTCAGATGTTTTTATACCCTTTTTGAGGCAGAGGCGAACAACTCCTTGAGGGCTGCTAAAAAAGAAGGAAATATTTACATTTCTTCAACTCTTTCTGTTTTGACACTTTTCTTTTCCGTAGCTCAAGCCTTGTTTGGAGAGACACGACAAGAATAGCAGATGAGGATTCGGGGAAAATAAACAGTCTAGTATTCCTCAAGAGTAGACAAAGTGGGAAATCACAGATCTGGACAAGCCGGCTCTTTGTTTTAGTTTAGTAAGCTCATATTCTGGTAGCTGTAGCAATTTAAGTGCTAGTTGTGAGACAATATCTTTATTTCCACATTTTTACTGTAACATATATATACACACACACACACACACACACACACACACACACACACACACTACTATTCAAAAGTCGTGGTTGGTAAGATTTCATTTATTTATTTAAACTCTTTAGGAACACCAAAGCCATGTTTATTTGAAAAATAAATAGGCACAAACTGTATAATTTTAGCATATTCACCACATTGCATCACATTTTGATTTAAATTTAAGAAATTGAAACAAAATATAGGCCAACATTATAACTATAGTACAGCAAAATGTACTTCTCAACAACAAATAAAATAAGTAACTACATAAGTAGTAATTAAAAAAAAAAAAACTTTTTTAATAGAAAACACCATAGTAATTTACTGCCAGGACATTATCAGTTTTTCAGACATTAACAGATTTGCTTATTTTATATTTTAGTTACAGTTATTTTCATATATTTAATAACTATTTTACTAATATAATATAAAATAATATAATTTTAATTAATTTAATGCATACATACTAAGAAATATATAATATAATATAATATATTATAATATAATATAATATAATATAATATAATATAATATAATATAATATAATATAATATAATATAATATAATATAATATAACACTTTTTTTAGTATAACAGGCTTTTTTTGTAAATAAATATTATGTTTTAAGTCACCCCCATTTTTTTCCTCACACTTCACAAAAAATCCTCACAAAAAAATGACTTTAAATTACACTTTAAATCTATAGTAAAATATTATGTACTGTCATTAAAGTAAGTTATTTAAAGCATTATGTTTAAAAATTAGTTAAAAATATTTTATTCATATGGTTTAAAAATTCTTAATATACATTGTTCACAACTCAATACCAGGTATAATGAGTGAGGGAGAGAGCAGGTGGTTACATTGCATTATGGTCCCTTTACATTAATAAACCTGACACATGGAGTCAGTCAACTGCACAAACACCCAAGCAACCATGTGTCCATCATTGCTTTAAACCATAACCCTCTTACTGTAGTTAGTTAATTACAAAGTCTCACAATATTATGACCGACGCAAGCAGATGTTCAACAGACGCCTTTTAGTGCAGTAGGTTTTAGTTCTGCCCTTTCCTTACGCTCACAATCCCTCCAATAACCAGCGCAAGAGTAATCACATCTGGTTAATCTGCTTCTCCTCTGTTGGAGTGTGTTATGCTGGAGGTAAACCACAACACATTTATTCAGCAGAACCACTGTTTACAGACTCCTGATTAAAGGGTGAGAGCTGGAGGTGAATAGTGTAAAAAATAAAAGTTATCACCATGCTTCTTCAGTTGATTGATTATATTATATACTGCAAACTTTTTTTGTATAACATGTGTTATAAAATTTTGTTTAAATATGATAAATTAGGCATTATTATATTAATTATGTTCTAATTTGCTTACATTTCTAGCACAAAAACCTGAACACTGGATGTCAGGAAGTCAGGTTCAAAATGTTGGTTTTATTTGTTTTTACACACAATATTTTAAGAAATCTACTTTTATAAAACTGTAATTCAGAAAATGGATTTGTTTTTTTGTTAAAATACAAGTATAGTATGAACATATCCCTCCATTTAAATAAATTAATTTGTCCTGAGATGATTTATGGCATTGTACGAGAAAAAAACAACTAATTTAAAAATGTGAATTGTAATTTAGGTAAATGTTTTGAAATCTAGATACAAATTGCGAATAGATAACAAACAGCAGTGTAAGAAGAAACAGAAGTGTATTTTTGGGTGTTTTCTTTACATTATGCTTAAAACAACTCTTTATTAATAGGCAAAAAGTCCAAGGTGCGTTGTATGTTTCTGTCTTGATGCTAACAGCTAAGCTGGCCATTTCTGAACCTCTTGGTTTCCTTTAACACCATTTGTGATTTTCCATCTCTCTCAGGTCATAAAGGCTATAGAGGAGGGATATCGTCTTCCCGCCCCCATGGACTGCCCTCCTGGCCTCCATCAGCTCATGCTGGACTGCTGGCAGAAAGACAGAGCCGATCGGCCCAAATTTGACCAGATTGTAGGCATCTTGGATAAAATGATCCGCAACCCTAACACCTTAAAAACGCCAATGGGAACGTGTTTACGGTGAGGATGCACATTCAATTTTTTTGCTTACATTTTTATAAGCAATTTGGTAGATTCTGATACAGATTTCCATTCGTCTCTCTCTCTCTCTCTCTCTCTCTCTCTCTCTATAATATATAAATAAATATAAAATAAAAAACAAACTAAATAATTTGGCATTTGCACGTAAAACAAAATTCTGTATTTTTTTTACTTTTAATATTTCTAACTTCAGGAACAGGAGTTTCTGCCATTGAGTTTTTCTAAATACAACCAAAATTCTTAAATAGGATCCAATCAGCAGGTGCTAGTGATGAATGTTATTGAAACTGAACCAAAACAGAGAAGCACCACCTACATCCACTGCCCATTTGTCAGGACATAGCGCAGGTCTTTCATCACAAAACTGAAGATATATAAAAAAATAAATGCAATTAAAAAACTAAATATATAATATATCTTATTTAGCATATTAGGTAGTCTACTATGTTAGGTGCACAATCTGACACAACAACTATGACACAAATCATAAAAATAAAGCAATAAAGCTTCTTCATTTTGGTCTCTTGTTAGGACAAGATCTGAAACCAATCTAAAACAGTAGGGATTAAGCTAAAGGAAGGTTGTATAATTCTTTTTTTTACCCACAATCTTACTTTCTCAAGTTTCACTTCCCAGAGCATCTGACATCATGCACCTCACACATAGGACATGTGGTAAGGCTTCAGTGTCAATGCTTTACGGTGGACATAGCTGAAGTTGGGGCTGATGCGATTGTCATAGTAACGTCAGCCAATGACATTATGATCGGCTACTGCCTGAGCTGAGGTATTTGCATAAAGCAATCTGATTGGCTGACACTTCTGCTAATGCTTGAAAAGTGAGAAATGTCTAACTTCTGCAGCAAGCAGTGTCGCTGAAGCAGTGCCAACGGACCCACAATTCAGTTCGGCAATGCTTGACGTCACCCATTAAATGTGAATGGGGCGTAATACACCTAAAACTAGTCAATGGCAGGAAAGGGCTTTCTCTCGTTATCTGCAGGAAAAAGTAAAACAAAATATTTTATCGATTTGGTGCACGTCATAATACCAGCCATACATGTAAAGCACAAATAATGTCCTTCAATTCGGGCACGTCCAGCGGCTGTCATCCTTGAAACGCCCAATTCGTGGCACAGGATGTCTAATCTCATCTTTGCATTGACTTCACGTGTAAATCAGTCACGCTTCATCCACTTCTGCTAACTGCATAGGCTGCAAAACAATTCTCCCCTTCTATGTAATGTAATGATTGTGAGGGCGCAGGTGAGACATCATTTTTCAAGAGAGACTCAAATACATTCTGTGTTCTGCGTTTGCAATGTCTATAAGTCACTTAAAACAATAAATTGCCAACTGAAATAAATATGATTTGATTATATGTTTTGGAATTGAATGTTTTATGAGATTATTTACATTTTTTTGCCATTGTTTTGCGTTAAAATTAAGAATTCTGCAAGATCGCAGCTTTTTGTTGATTTTGCGTTGGATTCAACTATAGATGTGCCATGTATAGTACACTGCAATTTGTGTTTACACTAGCTTTAGCTATTTTTCACAGATGAAATTAACATGTATTCTGCAACTTTTGGAAACATATAAACCTCAAACTCGGTTCTGGAAAGCTGGTGTCCTGTAGATTTTAGCTCCAACTTTCTTCAACACACCTGGACAGATTTTTTTAGAAAGCCTAGTTAGTGCTTGATTAGCTAACCCAGGTATGTCTGATTGGGGTTGAAGCTAAAATCTTCAGGACACTACAGCGCCAGTAATGAGATTGAGAACCCCTGCTCGAAGCGATAACCTAAAGATGATTTATATTAAACTGTCCAAACACAAAAGTCTAATATTCGTAAAATAGTATTATTTAATGTGGGAAAACATCATGGTATCACAAAAGTATGAAATGGACAATATTTGTTAATTTTGTTAAAGTCTGCACAAAGTATCAGAATTTTGTATTTCTTTTTATACTGTCAGCACTTTTCTCAACGGAAAATTATACCGTTCATGCACCAGCTTTATTTTTATGATGCATGGAAGACGCTTGTTATGTTTTATACTCCTGCACCTCACTGCAACATCTCTGAGCCCTTTTATGTGTTCACAAGTAAATTTGCGAACAGTTCCATCTGTCCGGCTTTTGATTTATCCGCTAGGGTTTACTGATGAAAGATAAATCCCGGGGAATCAATAAAGCGAAACAGCCTCCATGCCTTTATGTTCGATAACAAGGACTTTAAATCAATTGTCATAATGAGTGTTTGAGACTTTAAAGCCTTGAGGGAATTTCAGCCCTCGGTGTGGTATTAGCGAGAGGAAGTGTGTTTACAATCATAACAGGATCTGCGTCTCACACTAAAGAGATGACCTTTAAAACTTTTGGAAGAATCCTGTAGTTCATCTAAACTCCCTTAATCATTCCTGTGACAAGTAATGCAAAGCAAGCAGTTCATTTAGTCAGTACAAATGTGAACGTAATAAGCCTAGTCTCATTGACTGTAATTCATGTTAGATAGGTCTGGCGCCATACCAATCTGAGTTACAATTCATTATTAGCTATACAACTGCAAAAAAAAAATATCATGTCATTGTACATCTCATACCCAATTAAAATGGATATTAAATTAACAAATAAAATTATGGCAGGCAGCTTTCTAATATTGCTCAATTAAGTCAATGTAGTTTTCAGCTATGAGTCGTTCATTTTAATTGAATTAGACAACTAATTACATGCAGTGAAACAAACAAAAACAACACAAGGATGCTATCTATCTAAGCATGTATGTAGCTGTTGTTGGCATGCATAATTAAAATGTACTGTCAGATGTCAAATTACAATTAGAAATGTATGATTAAATGATAGATAGTATTTTACATTTAACTATAAAATAGAATTTTTAGTCAATATAGTATCTATTTTTTATCTAAATAATGCCGCAGTCACACTAGAGTTTGAGCTTGCTGAATTCTGTAGTACGGCTCTGCGAAAAGGGGCGGGATTAAACAAGATGAGCGATTGGTTCATATTTAAAATTTCTGTCCAGAGAGGTCATGTTTTGATCCTCGCGCAGTCAAGTAATACAATTTCTCAGGTCAGAGTTCACCAAGCTTGAACTTTGCAACCCAGCGAGACGCGAAATTTGTCGCACAAGCTTGCGTTTCCGGTCTAAAGCATTCACGTATGTATGAATGGAAGTCTATAGGGAGAAAAGTGCAGTGCGACCGCAGCTTTATTAATCATTTCAGCAATTAGTTTTATTGATTTTTATTGAAATTGATAATTACTACATACATTTTCTAAATACAAATGTTAATATTTGGGATCCTCCGATCGATCGGAAAATCGGTATTGGCCGATAGTTACATTTTATGACTCAATTGGTCCTTGCCGATCTGCCCAATCTGGTGAACCGATTGCAAGTGTTTGTACATGAGTTTAAAAGCAGAGGAAGACACACGCCTGCTGCTGTATATTATGCATAGCCTACAGCAGCCACAGCAGTAGGTGAATGATCCTTGGGGGCATGAGCTATTGCTGCACTCATGTCACAGTATAGATAAAATATGTACAGATGCGTTACGTTCTCTGTTTACAGTTTAATGACGTGACTTGTGCGGGTGATCGTCTCTTTGTTGCAAGTGAAGCCATTGTATTTTTTTTTATTGCATAAACCATCAGGAACAAAAATACAACACAATATAAAAGATAAAACATTAAAAACTGATACAACAATGGTAATATATATATATATATATATATATATATATATATATATATATATATATATATATATATATATATATATATATATATATATTATTTATTTATTATTTTTACATCATATTTACATTTTTATATAAATATATTTTTACATTTTAAGAATTGATTGGGGAATCAAAAAAAAGTGTTATAATAGTTGATATGCATCTTATATTTTTTGCTTTTTAATATTTTCACAGTAGATATAAAGAAGTCAAACTTGATACAAAAAAAAAAACTTATTCTGGGAGATGATTTAGCAAATGTCTGTTTGTGTATGTAAAATTTTGCCAATAAGATAAGGAGATTAATAATGCATTCAACAGTTTTGCTGGATTTGTTTTCATAATAAAAAAAAAAAATATATATATATATATATATATATATATATATATATATTTATTTATTTATTTATATATTTATTTTTATGTAAAATAAGTTTTTCATTCATTCATTTTCTTGTCGGCTTAGTCCCTTTATTAATCCGGGGTCGCCACAGCGGAATGAACTGCCAACTTATCCAGCAAGTTTTTACACAGCGGATGCCCTTCCAGCTGCAACCCATCTCTGGGAAACATCAACACACATATTCACTCATACACTATGGACAATTTAGCCTACCCAATTCACCTGTACCACATGTCTTTGGACTGTGGGGGAAACCGGAGCACCCGGAGGAAACCCACGCGAAGGCAGGGAGAACATGCTAACTCCACACAGAAACGCCAACTGAAACGAGGTTCGAACCAGCGACCTTCTTGCTGTAAGGCGACAGCACTACCTACTGCGCCACTGCCTCGCCCTTAAAAATAAGTTTTGTTATTTTAAATATATATTTGGCTAGATCCTTCCAGAAATTGTTTACAACATGGCATTCAAAAAATAAATGACAAAGGCTCTCTTTATCTGCATTACAGAAACTACAGATGTCCTCCATTCCAATGTACTTTGATAATACTGATTTCACTGGGTAAACTGTAGTATTTTAAAATGTTTTTCCTTAATTTTATTATTAATAGTGTATTTAAAGAGTGCAGCCATCGTTTATGTTTTGAGCTGCTGTGGTGCGAGCAGAATGATTGCTCCTGTCTAGTGTCTCATCCAACCTTATGACCTCTCCTGGAAGTTCCGCAAGTCTCCTGCATAATCAAATCGGTTCCATGATCACCAAAAATATGTTAAAACACCCAGAAATCATGGCGACAAGAGTGAATGTGTCACGATCCGGTAAAGGAAAACAGGAGCAAGGACCCAAGCGCAGAGTGAAGTAGGATTTATTAATTAAAAAATAAAATAAAAGGCAAAATAAACAACCCCGAGGGGGAAAACACTTCTACAACAAACAATAAATCAAACAAACAAACTTGACTGGGCAGGCACGACAAGGCAGGACTGGACACAGCAAGACAGGTAAATATCGACAACATATGATGACGAACTCGCAAAGGACTGAAAACATGAGGGGGATTATAAAGCAAAAAGTAAATGACACACAGGTGAACATGACAAACTAATAATGGGTTAACAAGGAGGGTGGGACTAGACAATAGACGGGAGAGCGCATGACACAGAGAGACAATACAAGCCATGCGCTCACATAACACAACACTGAAGCACACGACAAAAGCACGTGACCACAATGTAAACACCGAGCCACGTGCTTTGACAAAAGACGCAAGACACGAGCACACGATGAATGAAAACTCACCATGCGCTCACATATGCAGCATGCATGCTTCATCCCAGCGCCGACCAAAACCGAAACCAACAAGACTGAGACGCTGGGAATGAAACACCATGCTGCTGACAGACGAAAACACAAACACGAGTACAAGAGCGCACGCGTCTGAGGGACGCAGAGCGCGCACGCGGCTGCGTCAAGCAGGAGCGCGCACACTTTGCGTACACCCACGACGGCGCGCGCGCACACAGAGACAGAAACAGGACCAGACACGAGTAGTGTCAGAGATCTGCCGCCAAAACAAGAATTTACAAGATCAGAGTGGCAGAACCCTGACACTACCCCCCCCCCCCAAAAGGGACGCCACCTGGCGTCCCTAAAGGGAACATCCAACAAGGTACAAGACAGACAAGAAACACCACAAGACAACAAAACAGGCAACATCAACAAACACAAGACAGGGAGGTGAACAGGCAAGACATGAAGGGGGGGAGGGAGGGGAGCCAAGTCAGACCCAACAAGACAAACAAGGGAGGGATGGGAGGGCAAAACCAGGGAGGATCAGGAGGGACAGTCCAGGACAGGTGCAATGGATCAGGGACCCCGGCAGGGAACCAGGGTGGAGCCGGAGGATCAGTCCAGGGTGGCAGAGGCATGCTCCAAGGTGGAGCAGGAGGGACAACCCAAGGAGGATCGGCCTGGGATAGCAAGGCAGGAGGCCTGTAGGGAGCTGGCCGGGATGAAGGCCTGTGGGGAGCCGGCTGGTCTAGAGGCGACTTAACTAAAGCCGGCGGGACTGAAGACCAGAGGGGAGCCGGCGGGGCTGAAGACCAGAGGGGAGCCGGCAGGGCTGAAGACCAGAGGGGAGCGGGCAGGGCTGAAGACCAGAGGGGAGCCGGAGGGGGCTGAAGACAAGAGGGGAGCCGGAGGGGCTGAAGACCAGAGGGGAGCCGGAGGGGCTAGGAGCCGGGCTGGGGCCGGCTGGGCAAGACGTCTGGGGTGCGCCGGCAGGGCAAGACGTCTGGTTGGGGCCGGCAGGGAAAAGAGCCGGGCTGGGGCCGGCAGGGCAAGACGTCTGGTTGGTGCCGGCAGGGCAAGGAACCGGGCTGGGGCCGGCAGGGCTTGACGTCTGGGTGGTGCCGGCAGGGAAAGGAGCTGGGCTGAAGCCGGCAGGGCAAGACGTCTGGGTGGCGCCGGCAGGGCAAGACGTCTGGGTGGCGCCGGGAGAGCAAGACGTCTAGGTGGCGCCGGCAGGGCAAGACGTCTGGGTGGCGCCAGCAGGGCAAGGAGCCGGGCTGGGGCCGGCTGGGCAAGACGTCTGGGTGGCACCGGCAGGGCAAGGAGCCAGACTGGGACCGGCACTGAGCTGCATTCAGGGGCTGGAGCCGACACTGGAGGGCGCTCAGGGGCTGGAGCCGACACTGGAGGGCGCTTAGGGGCTGGAGCCGACACTGGAGGGCGCTCTGGGGCTGGAGCCGACACTGGAGGGCGCTCTGGGGCTGGAGCCGACACTGGAGGGCGCTCTGGGGCTGGAGCCGACACTGGAGGGCGCTCTGGGGCTGGAGCCGACACTGGAGGGCGCTCTGGGGCTGGAGCCGACACTGGAGGGCGCTCTGGGGCTGGAGCCGACACTGGAGGGCGCTCTGGGGCTGGAGCCGACACTGGAGGGCGCTCTGGGGCTGGAGCCGACACTGGAGGGCGCTCTGGGGCTGGAGCCGACACTGGAGGGCGCTCTGGGGCTGGAGCCGACACTGCAGCAGAGGTCTTCCTTTTTAACCTCCGCTTCTGAGTGCGGGTCAGCCCTTGAGGGCTGGACATGGGCTGGGAGGCGGTGCTGGTGGTGGTGCAAGGGATCCTCTCCTCCTGAAGAATCACTCTCTCCTTTAGCTGCAGAGCAGAGGGCAACAGAGAGCTGGGATTGGGATGTTCGCTATAAGCAGCCTGATGAACCAAATGCTCCACAAACTGATGGTAAGATAGCCCTCCCAATTTCAGCATCTGCTGGATATTGAGGGGCTTGTCGAGGGCATAGTTAAGGAGGTTCACCAGGGCTTGATCATTAAACCCCAGCCCCTCTGCTGCCACACAAAATTTAGCCGCAAAACTTTCCACCTTCATGCCACGTTGCCGCAGCGACTGCAGACTGATGAGCTGCAGTATGCGGCTGGAGAAGGGGCTGTCTTCACTCTGCTGGGTCCTCATTTTTGGCGAGTTCGTACTGTCACGATCCGGTAAAGGAAAACAGGAGCAAGGACCCAAGCGCAGAGTGAAGTAGGATTTATTAATTAAAAAATAAAATAAAAGGCAAAATAAACAACCCCGAGGGGGAAAACACTTCTACAACAAACAATAAATCAAACAAACAAACTTGACTGGGCAGGCACGACAAGGCAGGACTGGACACAGCAAGACAGGTAAATATCGACAACATATGATGACGAACTCGCAAAGGACTGAAAACATGAGGGGGATTATAAAGCAAAAAGTAAATGACACACAGGTGAACATGACAAACTAATAATGGGTTAACAAGGAGGGTGGGACTAGACAATAGACGGGAGAGCGCATGACACAGAGAGACAATACAAGCCATGCGCTCACATAACACAACACTGAAGCACACGACAAAAGCACGTGACCACAATGTAAACACCGAGCCACGTGCTTTGACAAAAGACGCAAGACACGAGCACACGATGAATGAAAACTCACCATGCGCTCACATATGCAGCATGCATGCTTCATCCCAGCGCCGACCAAAACCGAAACCAACAAGACTGAGACGCTGGGAATGAAACACCATGCTGCTGACAGACGAAAACACAAACACGAGTACAAGAGCGCACGCGTCTGAGGGACGCAGAGCGCGCACGCGGCTGCGTCAAGCAGGAGCGCGCACACTTTGCGTACACCCACGACGGCGCGCGCGCACACAGAGACAGAAACAGGACCAGACACGAGTAGTGTCAGAGATCTGCCGCCAAAACAAGAATTTACAAGATCAGAGTGGCAGAACCCTGACAGAATGAGCCTGAGAACAGGTCGGGAGAGGCACAGTTCTAAGCATTACATTTGTTAGGTTAAATGAATAGAGCAGTAAATCCCTCCTTCTCTCATTGAGAGATCAGTTGTCAATCGTAGGTTACAAGCAAAATATTTGAATGGTCTTGCATGTATTTAGGCCTTTCGACATATAACAACCAAATTTTATTTTTTAATTTTTTTTTTTTTTACAATATTGCAAGTTCACTAAAAGTTGGCTGGAATTATTAGATTATAAATTAATAATATAACTACTTTTAATATACTTATTGCAATAAACAGTAGTTTAAAGGCCTATTTTCTAACAATAAAGAAGTTTCTTTGGCGGTTCATTCCACTGTGGCGACCCCTGATAAATAAAGGACTAAGCCGAAGTAAAATCAATGAAGCTGCTTCTAGCCATGATATTTTCAAACCTAAATGGTTATAAGAGACGTATTTAACGTATTATATGCAGCATCTTCTATCAAGGTTCATACTTGGAGGAAAAATGTGCTTAATGCCTTATAAAGCTTGAAGCATTAGACTCGGTACACGATATTTTCCGATCACCATGACACAGAATAGGTACTTGATGATATATATATATATATATATATATATATATATATATATATATATATATATATATATATATATATATATATATATTTTTTTTTTTTTTTTTTTTTTTTTTATGTTAACTGAGTACAGTACTATATACCATTAGTAATGATACTGCACCTTCTATAGCTCTTATTTTTCTCTTTTTATAACATTTTGTTTATCTTCTTCTTCCTCAGACCCATAAGTCCACTACTTGACCAGAACACTCCAGATTTCACCTCTTTCCGATTGGTCAGCGAGTGGTTGGAAGCCATCAAGATGGAGAGATACATGGACAACTTCACAGCCGCCGGCTACAGCTCGCTTGAATCTGTGGCTCGAATGACTATCGAGTAAGAGCTCTGATCCCTCGCTCACACTGTCACGCTCCACAGAAATGCATGATCTTTCTAGGAGTCATTTCAGCCCTCAGCTCTCATTCACAATACCATCCTGACATTGCGCTGAATTTTAATCAGATCTCTTTGATTCATCGTGTTGTAGTTAATATGGCTTTTTCTCAGTTTCCTTTTTTGCTTTGCTAATGAAATAGCTCTCGGGCGCTTCATGCTCCATTGCTGTGATTTATGAACGTTGTGTTTCTGCTTTAGGGACGTAATGAGTTTGGGAATCTCCTTGGTGGGCCATCAGAAGAAGATCATGAGCAGTATACAGACTATGAGAGCGCAGATGTTGCATCTTCACGGGACGGGCGTTCAAGTGTGATGGGCATCCACAGCCCCTTCCCAGTTGGATGAAGCAGAAGTCTCCAGGACAGCACAGCAAAGTGTGTGACACAGCAAACAAAAATCGGAAAAACTAAACATTTCTCAAAAAAAAAAAAAAAAAATGTTCCACACCCTTCCGGTGAGATTAACCTTCCAGAACTGGCTGAACAGAATCATTCCTTTGTTTTGGCGAAGGATTTGGGTGAAGGTGCTGAAAACCAAGAGACGAGGACACAGATGAGGACAAAGAACACAGGCGGACAGACCTCCGGATGCTCTCAAGAACTCTTCACGTCACTGAGACGGAGCATTCCAGAGGATTTTTATGCTTTGTACGAACTGTCTTTATCGTCAAAAAAGATTGATTTGCTCATAGTTGCTATAGATTTCATTGATTTTGTTTTTTTTTTTTTTTAATATAAAATAAGCAAATCCGGTTCATAAGGAGTGAATTTGGAGATTTCGTTTGGTTTGTAATATCCACATTTAACCAATGTGGTGCGTTACTCTTCTACTCGATTGATTTTGTGTTAGCTTGTTTTCTCGGATTGTGTTACGGAACTGACAACAGGGTAAAACGTCTCATCTGGAGGGAAAGAGACAGAACCAGAGGCTGAAAGTCGACAGAGGACGTTTGTCTTCTCCAGCCAGCACTATTTACATGAAGCTCTCTCCAGACAGAAGATAAAGTCGACCCGACTTGTTTTTTTTTTTTTTTATATATATATCAAGCAGTAATATCCCACTGCTTGGTAATACGTGAAGCTCCTGAGGGTGGCTGGTTGTGTTTAAGAACAGCCCGAGCAGATGATTAGGTATATTTTATGATCTTACATTACAATTCAGATGTGAATTAGTACAAAGAGATTTGCTAACCACTTCAGGTGGAGCTTTTTTAAAATGTAAGAAGAACAATTACGGTGGCAATATTCTTTATAAGTTTATATTTACCACATGAATGGATTTATCAGTGCTGTTATTGAATGTGTCCTTTTTTAATATTGATATTATTTACCATAAACACGTTTCCACACAAACGGGGGGAAAACAATGTTCATTTCGGAAACAAAATCATTTGTTGGTTAAGTATCAGTTTCCTAGCCGGTTGCTGATTTTGAAATCATACAATGGTGTGGTGTAAAGGAGTAATACTGCCTTAAATCAAGTCAACTATTGCTCTTATTTTTAGGTACTTAGCTTCTTTGTGAGATTACGATTAAGTAGGGGAGAGACTGACCAACATGAGCAATAATTTGAGGTGCTGTATAGACTTTTACACACAGACTGCTTGGAAGTCAGAGGCAGTACTGTGAAATTTGATCAAAGAGAGTTGCTGAGTTTATATACTGTACGAGGATCTTGACGTTTTGGTGCATTTCTTCCACCTTTTTTTTTTTTGTGTGCTGAGCTCATAGATGAGATTTATGTTGGTGTTTTAGTGCCATAACAGCCTTCCACTCTCGACTGAATGTTTCGTTGACAATTAAATGTTACGCATTTTAAGGCCCTGAAATACTTACAACAAAGTCCGTTCTCCCTTTTTTTTTTTTTGCTTAAGTTAGAATTACCTGAGCAGATTTGCACCAGCTCTGCAATGCAGCACCCCAGACACGTCATACTTTTTTTTAAATAGCACTTTATACAGTAGATTGATTTAAAGGAAGCATCTTTATAGTATAAAAATAGTGCTTAGAATTATACTTCAATATTTACTATAAAGCATTATGGACATTTAACCTTGATGGATAGAGTAAATTAAACCAATACATCAAGTCACACCTTCTTATAATGTCATTTAAAGGCATTAACACGCCTTAAAATCCCCAAATGAATTTTGTTTTGGTATATATATATATATATATATATATATATATTTTTTTTTTTTTTTTTTTCCGATTTTGCTTTAAGTATATCAGAGCCTTAAGTGTTAAATAGTACTGTAGACCTTTTTAGACTTGATTTGCTGGGTTGCCACCATTTTATACTATTAATGTGTCACATTTAAACACGCTAAACACATTTTCATTATTCTGGGAAGCCAATGCCACTTTAACCACAACAGCCGTGCCAACGTGTGGCATTTTCCTTAAGTTGAAAGAAAGCCGTTGGAGCAAAGCATCGTTGGAGGATCAGCCAAACGTTTGGCGCTTCAAAAAAAGCCATGCCATCTCCATTGTGAACCCAGCTGGTTTGTGTGTGCGTCCCTCGCGGATCATATCGTGCCCTGGTTAGAGGCCCATCTCCAATCCGCTATCCTTCCATCCCGCTAACCTCAGCATTGAGCCCACGCCAGGCCTTTGAATTGAATGCGAGCGGAAAGGCTCTCGGTCAGCACAAACCTCCCGAGCTTCAGCAGTGGCTGCAGTCACTCGGATCAGCCTCCCCGCGCTCTGATCTCACACTCCGGCCTCCCGAGGGCCCCTCACAGGCCCTTACCCTCTCCGGGGCCCCTGTAGAGACAGCAATTTGAGCCAATTTGAGATTAACGCCTGGATTCAATCAATCCCACATTGAGGCCACCGTACGGGTCAATGACAAATCTGTCAATTTTTTTTCCTCCTTTTCTGCTTTGTGCCGTTTTGAACTTTTCTGGTTTGATAGTAGTGGAATTTTGGGTCAAGACAGTTTGTGCTGTGGATTGATTGAGTTCACGGTGCAGCAGGGTTTTAAAGACTTCTAGAAAGACAGTCGAAAGCCCACCCAGACAAAAGTGAAGTGGAATATTCCAAAGAGTTCAGCACTGTTGATTGTGTCAGAGTAATCACAAACCAGAGGACGATTTGTACATGTTCTAGCTGTAAAACTTGTATATTTTATTTATGATTGTTGTTTCTTTTTATTTTTCACTCAAGTACTCTGTAGTGAGCTCATTGAAAATGCACTATATTTTTCTATCTCACATGCAACCGATTCTCGTCACCCTCACTCTTTCAGTTGTACATAATTTCTCATGTAGGACCAAAGAGAGCTAATAGGTTTCCATTTTAGGAGATTTTTTTTTTCCTTTTCTCTTTTAGGTTGGAAAAAATGTACAGTACAAATGAATTGTTGATTTATTATTTATTTTTCTGTGACAAGAGTATGGAGAGTATTCATTGGTCAAAAAGTATTTTCCCCAGTTGAGAAACTGTATGGTCATTTACCTAGACAATTTCTTGTTACATAGACCATTTTTTTCTTTTGCTTTGTAACCTTTGTAATAGACTGTACATATATTTTTGGAAATATAATGCAATCTCTATAGATGTGTCTGTGCCTTCAATTTCTGTGTGTCTTGATTACAGTCACAATAGTATACATTATTCAATATTTTACACAATATTATACACCATTTTAAAATCAACTAAATACATTTTATGTTGAAGTCGATGTTCCTTACTAGAAAAGTCAGTTCTTATAAATACCTATCAGTTCTTACAAGTTTCACAAACTAATTTCGAGAGGAGCATGTGATAGGACTGACTACAGCTGATGCCTATCACTAATCACTAACAAGCCAATCGGATGATTCTAAATTTTATATAAATATCCAGCCAAAACTTTATTCCTCATTTTAGTTTTGGAAGACCCCCCATCCATCCCTTCTCCTCAATTCTAAGATTAGGCGACACGGTGGCTCAGTGGCTAGCACTGTCACCCCACAGCAAGAAGGCCATTGGTTCAAACAGTAGCTGAGCCAGTCGACACTCTCTGTGCAGAGTTTGCATGTTCTTATCGTGTTCGTGAACACACGTCATGTGTTCACTTTCAACATGATTTTGGATGCAATATGTGAATAGCTCCGTACAGATTTACCCTAAGAGGTAGTGTCTGAAGGAAAAGGCGTGTTCATGTTTTTACTGGAACCGGCACTTCATATGTCAATGCGTTCAGCTGGATGTTTTCATTCACTTTTACTCACTGTGCTGTGTTACACACTGCATGGAAAGTCATTTTCAAAAACCCATAATAGGGGCTTTTTAATCGTTTATGAGCATATCATTTCAAAATATGAAAATGTAATTATTTTGTAATGACCTTTACTTATTTTTTAATAATAACCTTACAAATTGTTATTAATATGATTTAAAGATTTATGGTTACAATTAATGCCCAGTGGTTTGAAAGAAAAAAGTATAAATATTTTAAATGACTGGTATTTAACTTTGAGGCTGCGCTATTATTCTTGATTTATAATACAATGATTATATAATTAATATACCTGATAAGATTTTTTTGGTATATAAGCTACTGTTACACTAAACAAAATTCTAGTGAGCTTCTTCTGTGAATCATGGGGGGAAATATAAAGAGTTCACTGTTATTTTATGAATATTATAAATAAGGGTTCCATGCATCATTACGAGAAGAATTCTACTGTCTGTTTATGGCCATTGGAATCATCCCAATACACTGTCTATGATTTGTGTTTAAAAAAGGAAATCTGCATGATTGGCCTCAAAGTATATTATCATGTCTTTGTTTTTTTCCTCCTGTCATAATTTTCTTCATGATGATGAAAACATCTGCTAGATGTCATGGCTGTTCTTCACTAATTGATGCATCAAAGCATTTCCGCCCATGTCTTTCGGATCTCCATTGATGTAGACTGTAAGTTGCACAGCATTTTAAATGGGATGAATCTGCCATCAAAGAGTACTTCGAAGAGGGATCAGACATGGTCACTATGTTAGCCCAATCCCAAATGACACCCTAAGCTCATGCGGTAATGCTACTTTAAATGTTGGTTAAAAGTCTGCAACAGAGCTCACCTCGAATTCAGCTTAAGTTAAGGGGAGACTCACAAGCACCCTTCTGAGAGCAAAAATGACTCCCTACGGCCAACCTTAATGGACACATACACGGCTGCCATTGTAAATCAACAAAGTGTGCCACTAAGGGATTGTTCCAAGCCAAAGTGCTCAAAACTGTCCACCTCAAAGGACCCTTCAGAATGATGATTTTCAAGGGTACAAGTGATGGACACTGTACAAGTGAGTCCACACTTGAGGTAAAGTTGTGATGTAATACCACATTGATAAGACCTTTGAGCTCAATTTGGCAGAGGAGTACATCAAGGTTATATTTTGGTCACAAATGAGGCACTTCAAGTAGCCTTCTAAAAGCTAAAATGTTGAATGGGACACGCAACAGTCTCATGGACTTAATAGAAGTGCACATAGTGGCCGATGTCAGTGCACAATAGGTAAAATTGATGGACACCTAGTGATGTAATGCTGTTGAAGAGTAAAAGTCTACTCGGACTTTGTATTGACGTGGCCTTGGCAGAAGTGTGCATCGGGGGATTACTGCAGTCACAAATATGAGTCATAAACTCATAGACTTAGGTGTACTGAGCAGGCATCATAAGTACGAAAGGGCCCATGTGCATATGAGGTGTGACATTTGGAATTAGCCTATTGAAGGGTTGATCCAATCAAAATATCTCAAGATTGGCCACTTTAAAGGACCCTTCGGAATTAAGAATTTCGAAGAATACAAGCGATGGACTTTTCTGTGAGCCACCATATTGGCACAAATCCCAATGAATCCTAAGCCCTTGTGGTAATGCCACTTTGAATGTGGGTAAAAAAAAGAGCTCACTTCACTGTAACCTTGACAGAAGTGTGCATCGAGGGTGCATAGCAGCTGCAAAAGGGGTGCTTGTTAGGTCTCTTGTCAAAAATAATTGATCAATAAGACATCCATGGACAAGGGATTGGGTCAATAAAAGTGATTCCAAAGTGAAAGAGCTTAAAACTGGCCACTTTAAGGAACCCTTCAGAATAACTCCCTGTTAAGGATGATACTTTAGAAAGGATGCAGACATACTGTAGGGGTTAGCCTTTCAGAAATGAACTGAACTCAACACTAATTATCATTATCGTTATCTTCACAGTTATCTGTCCTGGTGTGAGTGGACAGTAACTCCTGCTTTTGTATTATGTGATTCTGCATATACTCACAGAAAAGAGCTAATGTGACCCTTGGGAATCATTTGGTCCCCTACTAAAGCTCTTTGACTTGAATATTATCATTATGTATTGACAAGACAGAGAGCGAGAGGAAGGGCTGGGTGAGAGATTTGTTTGATGACCCCGCTCGTGACAGGATCCTGGATAGTGTCATTAAAAAGACATTACCCAAAGCCTCCGACATGGGAAAATTAAGCCACAGCCCCTTTGGGAGTTAAACAAAGAGGCCCTAATGGATTTATGAAGATTATATCTTTGCAGATACTCTGATATTTATTTTATTAACTCGGAGGGGCTCTTAACCTCATCATGCCTCTAAAGCTGTATACATGGTTATCATAAGACTCTGGCAGGAGTTCACAGGCTCTCCACAGAGGGAGGACGAGTAGAGCTGTTTCTCTGAAGAAATCTCATTCCTAATCCCTTCTAATCTCGCATCCATCAAGACTTGCTAGGCTGTTTTGCTATTTTGATATAAACACAACAGTGCCACTGATTCCATGACATTTCCAGTCAAACGTTTGTTCATGTGAGATTTTGCGTCCAAAGAACTTAATGAAAGGGATCAAGATCCTACAAATGACAAGCTTGTTGCTAATAGAAAGCGCACTTACATAGTAGAGGATCAAGCTTTCAATAAGCAAAGCATTATCCTGAAATTGGCAACCTCTGATAATCTTCCCAAATCCACAGGTTTCAAAATACTTATAAAAACAATCTTTGTCCATCCATTTTCTCAGTGAATAAAGGATTATGACTTGCTGGTTTCGAAAATGTATGAACAATGTTCTGTTTAGTAGGCTATTTGAAAAGGAAAGGATAAGTATCAAGTAACATGTAAGGTATATCAAAGTCCCGTGGCGGCCATCTTTAAAACACGTCTCTGGCAGTATGCTCAGACATTCTATCTGAATTGAAAAATATGAAATTCTCCAAAACTGTTTGCCACGCTTACATTTAAATTACAAGTTTGTAATCACTAATGAAATTAAACAACAACTGTCTCATAATTTTTGTTTCTACGTGTTCGAATCAAAACAAAATCAGCATACATGTATTTTTAGGTTACACAAGCCAATGCGCATGCGCACTCGAAAGGATTGAGATCTCGACACTAACCTCATTTATGGTCGTTCTACACATTATCATCCACTGAAAAGTGCCTTGTCAGGTTGCGCTGCTCTTCTGAGGTAATTCACAACTTGGTCTTGATAGTGAATCTCTTCCCGAAGTGAAAGCGTCACTTTGTTTACAAGTTTGTGGGCGTTTGAGTAACTGCTGTCATGTGATGTGCATTTGACAGGACTGACTGTACCTCACGTTTGTTTTTATACAGTTTACAAAACCATAAACCTTGAAAACCTTGTAAAAAACTATTTCACAGTGATGCCATTTGGCTTCAACAAAGACCCTTTCAAATGTACAGTTATTAAAGTGAAGGACAATTTAATTCCATAAAGAACCTTCTTTGACTGTAAAGAATGTTTTGTGGAAGGAAAATGTTAAAGGTTATTAATGTTTTGGACACGTCAATGGTAATAAACAAGGGTTACTTTTTAAGAGAGTATGAATGTGTTTATAATGAAAAACTACATTGGCTGATAGAATACTTCTGATAGCAAAGAGATTGAGAGCTTAATTGAGATGTTGACCAGCTGTTGTTTGAGGCCGGATGTTGTTTGTATGTTTTGTCCAGTTCTCCAAACTGCAGTCTGTTTCTCTTTCCTGTACACTAATAGTTTTTTTTTTTTTTTTTTTTGCACAGTTTGACTGGAAGGGAACGCAGCACTGTAAAGTCACCCAGAGTTTGAAATAACAATGAAAGCTAATTTTAAAATCAAATAAATTCTTTCACCAAACAAGGATGCATTCAATTGATCAGAAGTGACTAGAAAGACATTTAAAGAGTAATTATTTTTAAGTGCATTCTTGACCATGACCGTGATGGTGATTTTCTGGTTATTTTGTTTGGTGTGTTCCACACCTTGCCTCTCATTGGGCTTATGTCGGTGAAAGTTTGCCTGATTTAGCATGTAGAATCAGTGATGGCCATTGTTGAAATAGTATGTGCTGATTAGCGAGTGATGAGTGCGAAAACAAAAACTAAATTGACGAAATCAAGCAAGCGGTGATGTTTGTAAATTATATGAATTATCAGACACAATTGCTAGAGCAAGTCCCTCTGTCGTGAGATAAACATACTGTGGTAATTGTACTGAAATGCTACTTTGTTTTCAGTTTGTATGCGTGCAGCACTAGTTCCAGTTTCCTTTAGTGTAATAGCAACAC